CTCTTTTTCACAATTATTACTATTGGTACACATTTGATAAGTCTAGCGCTTCAAGAAGGTATCGGAAGTATTAAAAGAAAACGTAATATTATTTTACAATGACCGTGATTCCAAGAAGGTAGTGAGTAAGTGGCTCATAATAGGTACCTTTCCCTTACATATCCTTTTTGATGCTAGCAAGAATATGTAAAAATTTTTATTTAAGTACAATATTCTGTATCGCCATAGATATACGGATGATTCAAATTTATCCTTGCTACAACATGTTTCTAGATTCTTTAATTAATTATTATTCACTAATGATGCTTTCTGCTTCTTATCTGAAGCCTTCCCTCATCCAAAAATCTTTGTAGAAACTGTTAAAATGAATTGAAAAAGAGGTTGTAATCAGCTGCAATTTATGAACACTTATGACTAATTGTAAGTCATTTTTTTCCATTTAACCTAACAACACAAAAAACTTAACTTGATACAATTTTTGTGCTTTAGACTTAACATTAATACCACCGTGTAAGTTTTTCTTCTTTTATGGCTCATGACAGGAAAGATGAGAGAGAGAGGCTAAGAAATAGAGTTAATGAGACAATTCAATAAAATAGTGAAGGTGCTAAATAAAAGTCAAATGAAATATCTTTCTTATTGCAAATTTTATCACGCTGCATATTAGTACAAGTGTTTGCTTTAATGCATAGTTTTGAGGGAAGACAAGTAGACTGTAAGTGGTATCGTACGAAGTAAGCAAGAAAAAAACAGAGACAAATGAGTCAAGGTGCTAAATGACAATAAAGCCTCTGCGAGTAACGATAGACCTGACACACAACAAGACTTCAGCGGTTTTTTAGAAAAAATTCAAGCTGTAATGATCAAGCACGCTATCAAGATTTTGTTCAACCTCCTCTGATTCACTAGCTCATGGATACAAGGAAAAAGGAAAAAAGGGCTTCAAAGATGGATTGACAGATAAGAGTGTTGTGTGTGAAGTACAGAACGGTGAAAGGCGAAAAGCAGATGTGTAAATGTGATGTGTTTAGTAAACTTTGTTACGCTAGAGATAAAATTAATGAGTGTGAGAATGTATTAGAAGAGAGTAAACTAGAAAGATGAAGATAGAAAGAGAGAGAGACAGAGAGGGAGGTATGCGTGGGGCATGGATCTGATTTTGCGAGTCTCAGCAAGTAGAACATCGTGTCTGCGTACATATTTTTAGAGTTTGTCCGAGTTCCGAAATTTCAGCCAGCGTCATGGGCAGTTTTCTGTGGTAAAAGATCATGCAAAATAAATAGGAGAATGTACAGTGCATATTCGAGCCATCAGAGTTGATATGTTGGAATACTAGGAATTCGTGATAAAAAGTGCTGCGTAGAGACTAGGTGTTCTCACGATAGAGAATTAAATTAAAGCTAATACTATTGAATAACGACGATAATTTTGCAGTATAGTACCTATTTTTAAAGTAAACTTTAAACTTAAGTATTAACCTTGCGCAGTATGCCCCCAGTAAACAAAAAAATCAAAGTCAAAACAAAGAGTTTTCGTAAGTAGCGCTCATCATCTGTAATATTAAATTTTATTGATGAGTTAGGTGTATTGTTTAATCAAAAGTCATTAAAATATACAGTATTAAAAATGAAACGTTACTGGTTCTTATTCTGCAACCATGCAATATATCTAACATTTACGCATGAACGTATTTACAGAGAAAATTACCCGGGCATTGAAGTTCGAATATGCGTGAACACTCTCAGTCAAAAATGTAAGGCTATAATAATATTTATACGTAATAGCTGTAATTGTAGCTATAACTACCAAATTTCTGCCCCGTTGTCTAGGTCTGCAGTTTGAATAGCGGGTCAGAAATGAGGCAGATATACCGCGCTGTTCCGCATCAGATTTTTTCTACGGAAGATTTCCCAAGGTTTTCCTGATCCATATGACAAACGTAATGAGTGAATGCAGATCAGTTGTTAGGGCTCTCCCCCCGTCCAATTCCATCCCAATTACTTCCCAATCACAAGTGCTAAGTGCCCTAAGTAGTGCTTCTATAAGAGATCCAGACGTAAAACACTGTACTTATGATTAAAAAAGCTATAACTACATTCATTTATAGCTATATGAAATTACAAAGTAACTGGACCTACAAATTTCCGCTATTAAAAGTAGGTATTTTTACATTTTACGCAGCCTTTAAAGAAAAACTTTTAGGAGTGAAGAAATACCAAAGACTACTGTGTGGTTACACCATTAAAATTGAAAACAACGGGATTCAAAATTGAGCTACTAGAATTTGCTTCAAAATTGGAATAATGCAGTGTTTATCATAACTGACGTGATGGCACCGTACTGTATTTCTCGTTCTTAAAAAAATAAATATTACAGAGAAATTTTAATTAAATCTCAACTAATTTTTACATGCCCTATTATACTTCAATATTTGTTAACTAGTTACCTCCTCAGAAGCAGTCTCAAAATTATTCTACATCTATAGAAATTAAATGTTTTTCTACGAACCACAAGAATATTATCACAATTTAGCATGAAAAAACCGTATATAATAAAGTATTTTTACGAACCTTTGAACGAACCGCTGAAATCAATTTAATTATACTATTTATTAGTAGTAATAAATCATACTAATCTTCTTTAAAACAATCTAGATGATCGTAATCAACCGAATCCTTCATGGTTTTATGGACAAATCTATTATAAGTAGTGGAAGTAGATTTCAGCCACATATACCATGACTATTAAAATGAATGCCTGCTTCGCACATAAAATATAAGGTAAGATATATTTTTTAGGTCTTGTGCTTTTAAGTATTACCAGATTTTATCATTATTATTTATATGTAACAAATAAGTACCACTCAATAAATATGATAAGCATCGTTTAAAAATCTGTGTATTTACTGAACATACTGTAATTCATTTCAAAGGAAATTGTCAAAAGTTGTACCTGATTAAAGAAAAAGTTAAACATTTAATTTACTCCAAATAAGTTCAACATTTTATGATTACAATATTCTCTAATTATACTGTAAACTGTGTGACGTGTGTTGTCTGAAAACTGTTATCCAGAAGAGTTTGCTACAAAAATACTAAAAAATAGATTTAAAAAATACTGTCATAATAATAAGAATCAACAAAATTTTATTTAGGAACCCAAAAAACCGCTTGTATTTATATCTTACCATCCAATTATTGCTTCTAAATGCTATTATTTCATGAAATCCAAAAATTTTGGTGTAAAAAATAGGATTAACAAAAAATTGTTTTCAATTATAAGATTAGGAAAAAATATCTTAGACACAAGACAAAAAACAGACGTTGTATACTCAATTATATTAAACATCAAAAATGTAACAAAATCTATTCAGGCCAAAGTTCACAAAAACTTACGACCAGATTAAAAGAACATGAGAGACTATATAAAAGTAAATCTGAAAAATCTGTCTTTTTTTTCACATTCGAAAGAATATAACCATAGTTTAGACTTTCATAATAACATACACAACAAAAAATATTGCCAAGATGTCATCTACAAAAAGTTTGTATAGCAAAATATCATCTTGTAGTTTAGATAATACATTCTCTTTAAACCGTTCCAAAACTATATCAGCAAACGCAGGGCTGATGTATCCCTCCATGGGACACCCTATGGACTACTGAAAAAAATTTTTATTGAACCACAAACAATTCGAGGCAACCAACAACTATATACCTTCTATAAACTCATCCATTGTTTTCTTTGACTATAACATCAATAGAAAAAATGAGTTAGATAAATTATGTAATACATGCATACATACTATATCTCAGTTTAAAAAGAAACAACCAAATAACTGTACTTTAAGTCGAAACTAACAAAAATGTATTAATCTGTACTTTTATACTTCTTGCAGCTATATCCACGCTCACACATCTATACACAGTTCCACTAATAGCTAGATAATCAAACTTGACCGCTAATGTATACATGTGCATGAAGACGTACCGCATACCTTGTAATCTTATTGCCTGTTTGTCCGTCGGTGTGAACAGTCTACCTACAGTTTATAATTGAAAAAGTTATCTCGTTTATTTATAAGATGCTTTGTGTATAAAATTAAACTGTTGGTCTATGTTGCTTGAGGTTTTTGCGTAAAAAAGTGAGAGGTAGTACACGTATTGTATCTTTGCGCTTATTTTATTTTATATTTTATGTACAATAAGCTAATATATATATCCATGTGTTTACAGTCTTAAAAAGGTCTACATGATGAAACGAAATATTGACAAGTATATAAATAAAAAATTTTTGCCCAAGAAAAACCAAGTGGTGTTGTATTGTTGGTGTAAGCCCTAAACAATGTTCAAGTTATTAAAAAACGAGAAAGTGGAAGTTCCAAGGGAGTTACTCTTTCCAAATAATTATCATCGAATAAATTATCTTTTAAAAATAAAAATTAAAAATACAAAGTATTTATGGTAAAAAAATTTATGAATGTATAGTCCATGACCCGACAGATTTATTAATCTTATGTTTTCCAGTAGTGAAAAAATTAGTTACTTCCTTACAGAATTTTCCAAAAAATATGGAAAAAATCGTTTTGTCCAGATCAGAAGTTGGCACTTAATTATTTAACAATTTATGAACGAATTCTTATATTTTACTCAGCTTTTAATTTTTTAAAGCTTCCCTTTCAATAAAATTGATTAAGTGCTATGGCAGAAAACATAAGATGAAATCGTATTTTTTTGTCTCCAGGCAATAGAATAATACAACGACATAGAGAATGCCACCAAGTTCAATAATTTTATCTGTAATGTTTTACGTATGCCGAAGGCTTCAAAACCCACACTTTTTTTTAAATTTAATTTTAATTGGTTAAAATAAGATCAAAAATACTATAGTTACAGTAATATAATAAGTTAGTTTAACAAAATAGTATAAGTTACAAAATTAGAATTAAATATGTACGCAGAGCAATAAAAGTATAGGAAATTTTATAAACCGTTACATACCGAAACTCCGTAATAAAGTGACAAACTAAGTAACCAAAAATGACAGCATCATTTGCTTCAACATCTAAATGTGGTATACCAAAATTACAGGAGTTCCATAGTTCTTGTTTATATTCATCCAGTTTCCAAGCTGCACTTCCTATATCCAATAAAATGATTTGTGGATTTCCATCAACTAGCCATGTTCCTGTTATAACCTAGAAATAGTCGAATTTCTTTAAAGTAATACGTGTTCTGGCATGAGTATTTAAGACTAATAATAATAATAATANCGCTCCGCGCACCAACCCTCCCTTTTATTGGGTTATAAATGAAATTTTTTCAAAATAAGGTTTGTATTAACATTTTTTAAAGCCATAAAAAATGATGAAATTAATTGTTAGTATGAAAATAACATGTTAAAGTACATTTTACAGAATTCGGAAGACTATGGCATTTTTTAAAAATACTCGAGAATTAATTTTCTACGCTAGGGAATGATTACTGGTCTGCTTTTAAGGAAATATAAAGAACAAGCTGCTAATTTCAAATAAAAGTGGTAAAGTTTGTAGAGAGAGAAAGATGTGCCCTTGACTTTTTGTTGGTGAGCTTTATTATTTCTTCTGGTGGCCCCCTTTTTTAGATGAGCTGTCTATCCTGTATGTGTCAATAGATATTTCTGAGCTCTTATATTTATATATGCCCCCTGCGCGCTCTGCGCACCAACCTCCGTAATTACGAATTAGAGTTACGAAGTATGGGAAAAAATCCGAATTATATTAATTGTTACTTAAAACTTATATATGTAAAAAATGTATATTGATCATAATTACATGAATTTTTAACAATCACTTTTTATTTTCCCTGACTAATAACAGATATTTCTATGGAATTAGTAGAACACGATTTTCAAAACGCTATAATTTTTGATAAAGCATGTAACGTTGTGCTGCCTTTTCAACTACGAAAATTTTTCGCATGGCTTATTATGTCTGAAAATTTTTTTCGTAATACTATTTGCAACAAATACAAAAATTTTTCATTAAAGATTGTAAAGATAATCAAAATAAAGCTCTTTTACATTTAAACGAAATTTTTGATTCTGAAAATATGTCTTGTAAAGATTTTAGTTTACCCGAACCAACAGAAACGATAAAAAAAAATTTTGATACTCACAATGATAATAGAATATTTAATAAACATAAATTCCATGAAATGTTTTCACAACTCAGTCATGATCAACGTCGAATTTTGTAAGAAATAATAAAATTTGATAATAATAATAAAAATAATAGCAACAAAAAGAGCAATAATAATAAAATTAACAATTATGATACTCGGGCTGAGGCAATCAGCCTATGGGGCACATGGGGCACGTTTCTTCAAGTGGCAAATGGAGGAGACCTTCAACGGGTGTATGATTCTGGGTTGCTACGAAGATCAGAGCTTCTGCCCACGGATGGTTGGAATGAAATAAAATAGTTTCCGTTGACCAAAACGCCGAGGATAAAAGTTCGTTATAAATCTAGGGTAGGTTTCCGAAAAAAAACGTATGATGAGTGACGATAATAAAAACTAAGGACCCCAGGCAGTAACCTCTCCGAGGGGATCCACTGCCAGTTCTGACCTGGTGAAAGCCCGGGTAACTGGAATTGGCCTTACGGATTCTGTGAGGGGCCACAAAGGCGTCCAGAACGTAAGCGAGGAAGATCAGAACTAACTATGAAGCAAACAAAGGAGGATATTGTATTCACAGGACTCGAGGAAATGACTTAAGATATGCTGGAAGCAGCAGCAAGGACGACACAAAAACAGCAATGCTGATTAAAGAAGGTATAGAAGTAGTGTTGAACCTTCTGCATAACTTTAATGATAGACGTCAGGGGACAAGGAAGAAGATGAAAAATCCTCTAGAATTAGCCGATGATAATCTGAAGCATAAGACGTCCCTGGTTAGCAGTATAGCTAAGACCATTAAAAGGCTACAATTCGTTATAACAGAAGAGAAAAGAGTAACGCTGAAAGTCTGGGATCTAGATTCGATTACCAAGAAGGCTGGAATCAAACTTGCATTGAGTAAAACCCCTAGTTGTTCACCACAAATGAGAAGAGTGAGTCTGGTCTAGGAGCTAATAGCAAAGGGCAGAAGGTAGCCTAGAAGGGTCAAAGCTATCATTCCAGTGTGGCAGCTGCAATCACTGAAAGAAAAATTACATGGAGAAAATCTGGTGGTCTGCTTGAGAAACAGAAGGTGCCAAACACGGAGCAGGTAGCAGCAGCTGCCCAGCATTTAGAAAAGCACTAGAAGAGGCCAAAAGTACAGTGCCTACGAGACGTAGATAGAGTTCAAGAGAATTGAAGCTAGATGACCATTGCAGACCCGAGCTACGTTGAATTACCAAAACTATCAGCAAGAGGAAGCAACGGAAATTGATGTCCCCAAAATACAGCAGATAACCAGAACGAATAAAGAGAAGGCATTATTATGACGGTGATGAAATTCCGGTGCCACGTCAATGATTAACACTCCATGGCCCTAGTTCAAAGTATTAATGCAAAAGTGGATTCTAAGCCAGGTATTTCAGGAGATGGATCTTGCCAGTGTAGTGGGTATTCAGTCAATATCGCTAAGAACATCTGTTTAGAATTATATCATTCAAATGAGAATAATGAGCTAGCGAAGAAACTCGCTGGGACTGTAGAGAGTAAGGCGGAAAGTTGAAGGCGCAATCAAGCACAGCAATTACCTAGGCTTTCACCATGGATTAAAGAATACCAGCCTAAGCTTGTATCTAATAATCAAGAGAAAGGTGGAAAGATATAGGAGCAATCGAACACAGAAATCACCTGGGATACATTCTTTTAAATAAAATACAACCTCTCCTTCTTGTTTTGTATAACTTTGAATCAACTTTAATAACAGTACACTGATTTTTTTACACGGATTAAACAGTAAAACTAAAGCCATTAGCTCGATCAGAATAGATTGTCTTTATAACATTAACACTTGTAATAGCGAGAGCTCAGAGAAGCATTAAGGAAAGCCTTTACTAGCCTGAAAGGCGGAAGCGCCCTGAAGAGCAAGATCATGGCTTCTCTCCAACTCAGCATGTTAGATATATATGTAGTAAGTGCACGCGCTCACTATACTTTAGTTCATAGATTACGCATAGTAACAAGACAATCCCTGCGTCACACGGCGATTGACTAAAGCCTGTGTTTTCCTATATAGTATGATAGAATTAGCTTCAAATCCATTAAAATATGAGAGTAATGTTTTCTCACAAACTCTTTTCCATTTCACCTAAGTTTTTGTTGTTGAATTAAAACAGTAGTATTCTGGAATGTTTACATAGTGAATTTTTCTTGTAAAACTATCCTTTCTATTCAATTTGAACCGTGCCGTCAAAGCTGTCTCTAAAGTTTCTATTGCTTTGAACATATTATTTTCTTCGAATACTATTTTTTGTTTATTTGTAACATGTACTGGTAAGTTAAATACCGAATGACTTGGTCCTCAAAGAGGGAATTCTTGCAACCACCATGCTGCTTCCATAGGAATTAAGTAGCTACCATCTACATATTCTGTTATTTCGTCAAATATGTCTTCATCATTTACATTAGCATTGAGATCTGTTTTTGTTATTCTTACAGAATGCCTTATCTACTTTTTTATAAATATAATGAAAAATATATTTCATACTTTGAATAGATGCGCAATATTTAACATTAAAATGACAGTTACATTTTTACAACAAAATTTTATCATAGGGTACTACCATGGACTTGTTAACTAGAATTTTTTCGTTTTTATATAATATATGTGAGTATCACATCCATTATCATTTTTCCTGTATTCTGGATGACTATTTTTTCCAAATTTTACAATCAGTAAACTTTTTTAGAAAGTTTCTTGCACAAATATTTTCATGGCTGGTAAAACCAGGACTATATTTATTGTGAGGTCCATAAAGCATATGTTTGATAACTAATTTTTTTATGTATGAATCAAGTGGAATTTCTGCTGAAATATAGTTGTCAATGTCTGTAGTAGTGATTATTTATTTACTGTGAGGATGCAATATAACAATAATGTGAGCATGGGGTGGTCTTTTTTTCCGAAATTCTATTGTGTCAACGTAAGAAACAACTTTTCCGAATATATTTTCCTTGCTTATATCATCTTATATGAATTTCAGTTTTGTATTAAATAATCTAACAGTAATATTTGGTATGTCATTAGGAGTCGTATTTAAGGAAAAATTTTTTAAATTTGCTTCATGTCATTCTATTTTGGATAACATGTAACAGTAATAAATAAATTAAGTTTTTTGAACCTTCACATTATTTATATTGAATCTTGGTAACGTTTTTGCATATATCTTTGACCACCAATGTATGTTGAAGGTAAAATGAAAGTGTGTCCTACTTGATTTTTTTTTTAATTTTTTGAATTATTTGATGCACTACGTGATATATGATGTATTGGACCTTGGTAACATTTAATTCTTAATAATTTTTTATTATTGCGAAAACCAGTGGACAGTGAATGCTTGGATACCCAAGTAAGAAGTTATACTTCTGTAAAATTATATGGCAAATAATATATCTAGATAATAATTATAAATATAAATATATCTATCATGAAACGATACTGTGTACAAAGGTGGCGCAACTATCGTTGGGAAAAGTATACCTACGTTAGTTGGGTGTGGTTTCAATAAATATTTTAATATCTAATAACTGAACAGTTATAAACAATCTATCTATAATTGCACAATACAATACAAACAATATGAAGGCTGGCCAGTACAAGACTGTGCACTTTCATGGTCATTTTCATGGTGACGGTGATTTTAGAACAACTTCCTACTGCCTACACTGATAAGATCTGTAACGTCACGCTCACATTTATCACATATGTTTACACACTTATTTTTAGTCCATATTTAATATCCAAAAAATAATTGTACCTTAAAAATTAAGACAAACCAACCAGTATTACCGCTTTTTTCGATAGCATAGTAGTACATACCAGTGAGTGTCCCTCCAGTACGCTCATCACACATAGGTGTTTTTGAAAGATATTATTTAAGTATCAAATGTATTCTAAAAATACTTTTAGAAATTTCTATAGTAAATTGCAGATCGTTCCACTGTACCCTCTTTCACACTTATAATTATAAAAATTTGCAGTTTCACGTATAACCTTGCGGAA